TATTGTGTGTTCATCACCCCAAGTTGAGTCGTCTTCCATCACCATTTATCACCCCATCCCCTCCTCCATCTCCCTCCATCCTCCCATCCCAACAATCACCACACTGTTGTCTGTATCCATGAGTTCTTTTCTCCTTTTTTTTTCTTTTTAGTGCACCCATTTACACCCATCCCCCTTAGCTGTCAGCCTGCTTTCTATCTACGAGTCTGTCTCTATTTTGCTTGTTAGTCCATTTTGTTCATTAGATTCCACATCTGAGTAAAATCACATGGTACTTGTCTTTCTCTGACTGGCTTATATCACTTAGCATAATACTAGTACATAAATTAATTCTCTTTTAATTTTATCACATCCACTTAATCTCTTGAGCTAAAGTGAGTTATTTCTTCTACTCTTTGTTTTATTAGCACATCTAATGAACCACTGTATTTTAATTATACTACCGGTGGAACTTTCTCAAATCCACCCTAACTCCTACCTCTCCTAGTTATTCCCATGAACATCCATGACTGAGACTGATGACTAGACAAGTGTTTCTCAGGCTTTAAATAAAATCCAAGGTGACTTTGAAAAACACACACAAAAAAATCATGTTATATCAAATTTCAAAATACAGTATTAAAAGTAAAGTCATGTGTGACTCATTTTCTCCCAATTCCACAGTTTTATTCTTCAGAGTTTCTGAAGCAATACTTCTACTTTCAGTCTCCATTCTTCCTCTCTCTCTTTCACACACTCCACCTACACTCATCCCCAAACACACATGGACTCCCATCCCACACATAATCACACACACACACACACACACACACACACACACACACACACCAGAGGTACACATACTCATAAGTTCTGGTCTTGAGTACACACTTTAAATTACACCAGCACAACCTGATATTTTGGGCCTCGGGGCAACTGTTTTCCCTTTCTGGAACCCTGTACCCCAAAACTGCCTACTTCCTGAACTATTCATCCTTCAAATTTTATATAACTATTAAAGGGTCTATGAATACTTCCCTGACCACACCAACCTCAAACAGAATAAACCATTTTTTAACATACTTTTATAGTTGCACTTCTCATATAGTTTTATAATTTATTGATTGTATAACTGTTGTCCTCAATTTGAGAAGGAATTTTTAAGATGGGAATTATATCTTATTTATATGCATAATATACCCGAGGAATACCAAGCCTAAGACTCAATTTGTTCAACTCCACTAATATTTTTTATATATTTATTACTTTAAGTGATGATAACATGTTTAAAATATGACTGAATGACATTTTAATAATAACTAAAGAATAATCTTTGGTTGTGTTAAATACAGCCATCAAAAAATATAAATTATATTGACATGTTTATTCAACAATCTAGACTCGCAATATAGAATGTACCAAGTAACACAAGTACAGTCCCCCTACTTCTTGTCTACCTACCACTTTCCCTCTTTCCCTATTCAGTCAACTGTTTTTGAAAAAGGCATGTGCAATCCCAGTCTTCTTTTCCTAACTTATCATTTACTCCTCACACCCACAGAAATAGAATTTCCACCCACTTAAACAGAAGTAGGTTTGCAGTTGTGAGTATGTGAAGCAGAGTTTATTCTTGTATTATTATTAATTAATTATTATATTCTTTATTTGTGTTATACCTGTAAACCTAGTTTTGCTCACCCTTGTTTATTAAAACTGCTATGACACTATGACAAATGCTCCCTTTAATTTCTATCTGGCCAAACCCAAAAGACATTTAATCTCTCAAATAGTTAACTGATTTTCTGCTAACTTGTTACTATTGTGGTTTTCCCTTGTATTCCTCTGCTACCTCAGCTCTGGTTCTCCAAGAACCAGAGTTCAAATTTTAGTTCTCATTTGAGTTGGGGGTTCCTTTTCCTTTACCCATTCCTTAAGCATTATTTTACCTCAGACTCTCTCTGGTACTTATTTTTTCTAATTATATATCCATTAGTGTCACAATCTATTTTCCCAGTTAACTGAGTGCTTCAGTTTTATGTCCCCAACTACGTCTTGGATGTATACCCTTGGATAAAACACAGGTACCACAACATCATCATATCAAAATCTGAACTACTCACCTCTGGGCCTGGCCTGATTCTTTTATTCTCTTTGGTAATGATACTTAATCACCCAAACCAGTGAAATAATAACCCCCCAAACATTTTCCTTAAAAGCCTTATGGAGCTGACAGTCACCCACTATCCTTTTGCCTTCTCACTCAGCTCTTAAAATGCTTGCTTCTCACACTCTCTGCTACTCCTATAGGCCAAGACCTTATCATATTTCTCTGGATTATTACAACAGTCTATCATCTGATTTGCTTATCTCTAGTTTTTCCCACATCACATTCAAATACCATTTCCCCCACCTCTGTGAAAGTAAAGTAATACATACTTTACATATACATAGAATAAATATCTGACTAAGCCATTCTCCTAATTAAAAACCATTGCTAAAACTTATAAATAAATGTAGTATTTATTTATATTTGACCCAGTTATCATATACAAAAATCTAAACTTATCCTACCAATACCAACATGAGATGCATTTTTATTTTCTGATCTATTCCATTCATAATGAAAAAAAAAAATTAAAAAACTAGCCTCTACTGATTTTCAAGCCCACTAAAAGATTATGACTTATATATTTAAAAACACTAATCTATAAGCTTGAGCCCATGCTTCATATTCCTTACACTCAACTTATTGTCATCTTCCCTATTAACCTAAAAAGACACATATGGGACACACAATACTGTCAAAAGAGAATCAGTAGAAATAAGGAAAAAGGTGCAAATTTTAAATTCTTCGGGTCATTTAAAGAGAGGTGTACTATTTTAGTTAGAGAAATATAGAGTGAGCAAAGGGATTGTAGAAAAGAGAATCCAAAGGGATTGTTTATGCTCAGCCACTGTACTCAGAGGGGCCACCAGAAAAGTTGCACTAGGTACAAGGTAAGTTACAATGGATTTCCACAACTATAACTGTATGAAAAATAAAATGAAGATAAAAGAAAACATCTAAAGTATTGTTGGGTCCTAATCGGTTTGACTCAGTGGATAGACCATTGGCCTTCGGACTGAGGGGTCCCAGGTTCAATTCTGGTTAAGGACATATACCTTGCTTGTGGGCATATCCCCAGTAGCAGGTATGCAGAAGGCAGCTGATCAATGTTTCTCTCTCATTGATGTTTCTAACTCTCTATCCCTCTCCCTTCCTCTCTGTAAAAATCAATAAAATATTTTTTTTTAAAACAAAATATCACCAAAACCGATTTGGCTCAGTGGATAGAGCGTCGGCCTGCGGACTGAAAGGTCCCGGATTCGATTCGGGTCAAGGGCATGTACCTTGGTTGCGGGCATATCCCCAGTAGGGGGCGTGCAAGAGGCAGCTGATCAATGACTCTCATGGATGTTTCTAACTCTACTCTCTATCCCTCTCCCTTCCTCTCTGTAGAAAATCAATAAAAATATATTTTTTAAAAATATATTGTTTGGGGAATATCAAATGGAATTTGAATGAATGGGACAATTTAAATAAAGCCTCAATAAGTAGAACATATTTTTAAATAAATGTGAATTCTTTGAAATGCTTTGCTCGAAATTGCTTGAATCCTAATATAAGAAAAATATTTTCCACAACCTAGAGCATAAGATAGAAAGTGAGGATCATAAGTTTTCCATCATCAGGAAAATGGCTTTATAGTAAGAATATTTATTTTTTTTTTAAATGGCAACACGATTAAGAGTACTTCAAGCTTTGTATTTTTCTTCAATGTGATCATAAATCATTTTTACTAGGATTGACTAAAAATTATTTTTATTCATTAAAAGTACTGATTAAATGTAGAATGATATTCAATAATAATCAAGTATTCTTCTTGAGATAAAATATATAACCCACCAATGAAGCCTCTTAGAATTTAGTTAACAAAATGTTATATCCTAAAGTATAAATAATTTAAACTATTTGTGATTATATGTAATATACAAAAAATAAGCATTGGAATCTTTAATTTTGGTCTTTGCTAATACTAATAAAAATTACTTGTCATAGCAAAAGTATTACAAAAATCTACTTCCCATAATTTTTTTACAATTTTATCACTTTATTTTGGTCTTGCTTCAAAGAACTTTCAGATAGCTAAAAAAAAAAAAAAAGTCTATTTAAAAATCACTCTTAAGACACTCTTAAGACATATTCTTCAAAAGCTTTTCCCAAAAAACTTGGAAGGAGGCATTTCCCCAGTTATAACTACTTGGTTATGATAATTATGTTGAATATTGCCAGTGCTGAGACATTTTAAGAACAGGTTTAATTTTTTCTATCAGGAGCATAATTCTTCTCAAAAGACTGACTATATCTTGCCAATCTGCAGAATTTTAAAGCTCTCTACATTTTATCACATTGAAATCTGTATTCCCAACCCAGTTTACTTATTTGGCTCCTTCTCTACTTCCTTCTTCTGTTGATCATTTAACTCTTCAGTAGTATCTACACTTGAGGTTGCAATTATAAAGATAAAACTAGATGGGCAATCGCTCTTTCAGACTGTCCATCTTTAAACACCTACTGTGAAGGTAGGAAATGGACTGCTTATGCATTTCCCCTTCTCACGTGTGCCACCTCTCTCTGTATCTTGCATCCTACTTTTCCACAGTCTTAGTTTCTAGTCCACATGCATTCCACATCCAAAAGGTATAGAATTTCTGCCACCCTCGAGTTCCCAAAATGTGTCTGTTTTCTCAAGTTTTATGTCTCTAACGTGGCATTAGAAACATCACTTAGCAAAGATGCTTAATACAGAGTTCACAATTGCAGACAATTTTATCTAATTTAATAGTAATCTTTTTATTACACATACAACAGAGTAGCCAGAATATCTATGCCCACATGCAAGGTGAATTAATAAATTCTGTAACCAGAGATCTGCGTAAGAGAGGACATTTTCAGTCAATAAAGCCAATGCCATACTCACGGTGAAGGTTGGTGGGGCTGGTTTTCAGCATTTCTTGGTGTTTTGCAGGCAGCAGGCTTCGCCATGTCCCTGACAACACACCTGGGGCGCATGATAGACAGCACAACGCACTATTAATTATAAAAAGGGTAGAACAAACCTGGAAATTAAATACGGTACTAAAACACAGTCTAGGGGGAAATCTTTGCGAGCCCCTTAAATAGTAACCTGAGGCCCTGGAAAAGCCCTTAGTGATGGAAAGCTTTGACTCGGGCTTCCAAGAGCTCAATTACACCCAAATAAAATCTGTGCTAGCCTCTGTATTTGACTTTCCTTTTAGCACCAATAAAACGATGGTCAGCACCTCTCCCCATGAAAGAAAGGCCACTGAAAGCCATGGCCTCCCCATATGAAGACATCTGAAAGCTTTAAAAATGTTGCTATGTTAAATGATAAGCAGCATTTTCTGTAGCTTTGGCTATTTTACTAAGACTCCTGTTTCATACCATTCGTCACAACACAGGTCTTTCCTTTCAATGCAAAAAAGAGACCTGAGAGGCCCCCAGACAGCCTCATATTCAACATCCCATTCAAACTAAAGAAAGAGCAAGAAGAAAATATTCATATATACAGTATGAGTGTGCCTGTGTGTGTACAATAAATAGAGAAGATTATCCACAATATGAAAAAGTAGTGCAAGGTCTTTGTGTCTTCAGGCCTCCATCACAGGATAAATGAATACAGTGGATAGACACTGTAGCAGAGCTGCAAAGGGCAGCAGGAGACACTCTCTTACCCTCATGTTGAGAGGGCGTATAGACCATCAGAGATTTACGGGCAGAAATCAGAAAATGCCCCCATCCGAGGCTGTACTTGGTTAGCTCAAATATTCTTTTGCCTCAAAAGCTTAAAAACAAACATTGCTTTACGTAGGGAAGCCTTGGTTATAAAGCTGAGAACCCCCCTCACACACATCTCAGACTTCGGTAACTGGAAACACCCCTGAGGACCCAGGATTCTCAAACATAAATCTGGTTCTTAAACTTCCATGGAGTTTTCTTGGAGTTTTGACTACACTACTTATGCTTATGGCCAGTCATATTATTCCGGAAGTGGATTCTTGGTGGGTCAGTGGCAGATCAACGTTTCCCAGGGCTAAAAGCTGCCTGGCTAAATTCTCCACTTCTGAAAGAGCGATACAGGGACACAGGGACACAACGCACAGAAACGTGCAGACACACACTGCTCATTCCAAACAAGGTCAAGTAAGAGTTAAAAATTGGTATGTATCGTGACAAAAAAAGAAGAAACAGTGTCATTTCAAAGCCTTAACACACGTCCCTTCTGGGGCAAGGGGAAAAAAAAAAAGTGACTTGTCAAGTACTAATGCTAAACTCTTAAGGGAATGATCAATCCCTCAGGAACCACAAGGCCTTCCTTTCAGTTTCGTTCCAGTTTCGTGGGAGGAGACGGCCACCCAGACTGCAGGGTTAGGTCGCGGTTGTTAAGGAGAAGTAATATCCTAGAATCCCTGAACTCTGCAAATTTAAATCTAACTTATACAGACTACAATGCCCAGGAAGTTAAATTTCATAGCACTGGAAAATCTTTAGCAATTCTCACCCAACTAAAAATAGCACATACAGCACATTTAACCTACATGTACTGGTTTGTGAAAATATCGGAAATATCACCCACTTTAGGAAACATTTTAAGAACTATATCCGTGAGAAACCATATGCAACCTTCTATCTTAGTTCATTTCTTTTTTTTTTCTCCTAAAGTTTCAGGTATTTGATAACAAAGCTTTGAAATAAACATGCTACTTAATTAGTTTACCTTAAATCTGCTCTTAAGTGAGATTTTTTACAAAGTAGGACAACATATATTTTTCATACTAACATATATCCTGACCATAAAACTAAGATATAGCCAACTACTGAATCTGAGTTTTTAGGGGGGAAACCATCTGTTCCAAGTTGCTAATTATTCAACCAATTTAAAGGGGGCTCTAAACTATGCTAATATATATCCTAATATATATTCCTACCTTTTCGAATTTGAGTTATTTTTAGCTGAAATTTTTCACTATATAAAGCCCTATACTATACTCAGATAGATACACAAAGATACATAAAGAGACATAAAGTACTACTAAGGTTTTTGTTAGCCTGAGTAGATTAACACATCTCTAAAATGAAAATTGATTGTTGTGTCTGGCATATCACAATTTGGAGGGGTAAAATGTAATAGTTTTGATGGTACTAATGTATAGAAACTGTTTAGCCCCAGTACTTTCAAGTATCTCCCCTGCATTAAAGTTATTATATTAAGATAGAGCCCGCATACTCTAAGAAACACAACTATGAGAGCTCCGTAAGTATGGACATTAAGGATCTTTCTCTTCATATGACTTATTCATTCTGCCAGACAGAAGGAGGCCACAGACAATGCCACAATGCTGACTTCCCAGACTAAGGAGTTCAAGGGTTTTAACCTCATACTCTTTACAAAGACTTTAAATACTTGGGGATTTATCAGACATGGACTCTTACCAGCTTTCAAGCTGCATGTGAACATTCCCTCATCACTCAAGCATCAAGGAAGATTCATGCAAATGAGACATTCAGTTACCACCTCAGGGGAAGGCTCCAGGCTCCACCCGAAGCGCTGCAGGGTTTTATGAATGACTGCAATCAATGCAATGAATGGCTGCCAACTACCCACTCAGCCACTTGTACCCTTCCGTGCACTGACACAGGAGAAACAAGTATTGCAGGAGCCAGCCAATGAGGCTACAGTGAGGCTTTCTTCTCACCAAACAGGAACTGGGTGTGCTTCCAGATACAGTATGTAAATCAAAAATCCTAAAGGCTTCCCCAAAATTATAATTTACATAATTACGTTCTTTCTTTTGACTTTCCATTTTGGTGCCTGCAGTCACTAGCACCCCCTCCAGCAAAAATATTAAAAAAAAAAAAAAAATTCCACTATTTTATGAAACCTTATCTCAACTTGAACTTGATCAAAATTGTTTTATCTTTCATGATGAATGCTGGGAAACCAGTTTCTGTGCACTGACATTGCCAAATAGATGGTGACAGGTTTACATTTCTGTTCTTAATCTTTTGGTTTTGGAATTTTAACTGGATTTCCACTATCATCAACGGAGACAACAATGACATCCTATCAGTGCTAAGAGAAAAAGCTTACTTTCCAAATGTTATTGGGCTAGTTAGTATGCACTTGTTGTAAGAGGCAGCTAAAGCAACATAAGGTTAACAGAAGGAAACATTCTTGTAAATATACAATCTTCTGATTGTTGCCCACTGATTAACAATACATAGAAACAAGAGAATACGTAGACAGGAAGAGAGTTCATGGGTGTTAGAGCCCACACTTTCTTCTAACTCTCAGATTTAGTGCTTATGGCCCTTCTTCCACATGGCATTAGCCAAAAGTACCTAAAACACATGCAAGAGTCCTATCTCCACTTTGATCCCCACTTAACTCCAGACATCCAACTGCCTCCCCTCAATGTTTTCATTTGAATTTGTAAGGGGCCTCTCAAATTCAGTATTTCCAAAATGGAATTCTTCATCTTTCCCACATGCCCCTAACCGAATCTTCCAGCAGCCATCTCCATCTTGGCTAAACTGAAAATACATTTCTCTAGCTGTTCAGGCTAAAAACTTTAGACTTGGATCCTCTTTCCTTTCACGCCTGTGTCTGTCCAATACACCTGATTGGTTCTGCTTTCAAACCATACACCAAACCTGGCCCTTTCTCACCTCCTCCACTATCGCCATGCCGTCCTGAGCCAATATCACCTTCTACTTGGATTTCCACAACAGACTGTTAACTGGTAGCTGGATGTTTACTTTTGTCCTTTTCCTGGAGTTTATTCTCAACACATCAGCCAAACTGACTCTTGAAAGAGAAATCAGACCATGACTTCAAAATCTTGCATTTGCTCCCCTTCTCACTTTCCCATCAGCTCCCTCTGCTCCCAATACACCACGCTCCATGCTGGTCTTTTTCAGACAGTCCAGGCGCAATCTTATCTTGGGGCTTTGCACCAACCCTTCTTTCCGGTGGAATGCTCTTGCCTGATTCTGGTATGACAAACCGGATTTGCTCTTTTCAAGCCTTTGTTCACAGGTCAGTCATTGATGGTTCCTATTATACTTTGACCATCTTACTTACTACCCACTACTGTACTTACTTCTTACTTACTTCCCCCTCACCACCACATCCACACACTTCAATAACCTTCAGCTTGCTCTGCTATTTACAAAAATGCGCTCCCTCCTGCTCCTAAAATATGAGCTGTTCAAGAGTAATTTTAAGAGCCTAGAACAGTGCCTGACATAATAGTCACTAAATATTTGTTAAATGAATGAATAAGATAAAAAAGCCAAAAGCTGTAGCTTTCAAGCTTGAGTAACTAACTTTACATGCTGAAACTTAATGGTTTAGAAAAATTATATTGATATGTAAATTATATCAATAAAGAAGAAAATCTTTTTGAAAGATTATAGCATAGGTTTATAAAATATTTACAAACTATAAATTAATTCATGGTCAATAATTTTTTTAACTCTGCTAAATTTGTTTTATATGGTTTGACTAAGGTTCTGAGCAAGAAAAAAATAAATGTATTTGTCCGCATATGACAACTTTAGTGGAAAACACTTTTTAATGCCAAATAATTGCTGTGAACCAGTGAGATATTATTTTAACATCTGTACTGATAGTTTACCAAGTAAATTTTTAAAGTAATTGTACATAAAGCAATTTCTTAATAGTAAAATCAGAAAAATCAATCCCTGTTTCATTCTGATTTTTCTAAATAGGATAGGAAAATAAGAACTTCTGTTTATTAAAGCTTATTTAAGACCAAAATGTAAACAGAATATTTCTTTTAATGTTCACCATAACTTACAAGGAGATATGATTGTCCCACTTGACAGATGAAGAAATGGTAGATCTAGATATTACATTATCTTTCCCATGATAAATGGCAAATGTTGATATTTTAAGAAGTCAAGATTCATATCAAGGATCTATTTGGCATCAAAATAATGTCCTTTCCATCATTA